CTTGGCCCCGGCACCACCTGGGCTCGCACCTCCCTCGCCACGGACATCCTGGCTTGTGACCCTGGGCGCGCCCTCGGCCCCGCGCTGGGTCTCTACGCTATTGGCGTTTCCGTGACGGCTTCGAAGGGCAGTCAGTTCAACACTCCGGGGCAGGACTCCGTGCTGGCTGTCGTCCTCAGAGCCTGCCGTTTTTTACTCTGTTGCCACGGCTGAGGTCACCTTGGGGCGCGCCGGGGAGGCCTTCGGTCTCCTCTGCCTCACTCCCGGTGCTGCTTCGCATTTTCCCGTGCCGTGTGCGCATCCCTGGGCTGAGACGCAGGACGCCATTTAAGGCCTCTTTAAATCTGGGAAAACACTAATGAACACCAATTTGCCCTTGAAATTCTCTTGAACTCAACCTACTGGGCACAGGCAGAGGCCTGGGATTCCTCGCTTGTGGTCCGACACCCCCCGATCATAACCGTCCGGTTTCGGAGGCCCTGACCAACAAACAATATCCTCATGTGGACCCAAAGACACGTCTCCAGCCGCCTCCCCTCCTAACTGCAGCTCCAAGGGCTGCTCTCGGAATATTGGCCCTTTGGGGAGACAGTCGACTTGCCCCTGTCTCCTCTCCTCCCACTAGGCTGGCTGTATAAATAACCTTGAAACTGGACAGCTCTAGCCAGTCCACTGACACGCTAGGGACGGAGCCAAAGATCCGCCGAGATGACTGCGATCTACACCTTGTGCCAACCCGGCGAGAACTGGGCGGCGCGAGTGGTGGTGTATGTTGGCAGGGGCAGGCCTCCCACGATTTCTTTCGAATCCACCCCTACATGAAGAGTCAACAACGGCCACAACTTATACGCATCACCTTTGTAACTGAGCGCCCACTTCACAGAGAGGTTACATAACTTGCCCAAGTACACAGAGCTCGGACGCGGGTAAGTGTAGTCGTTGGCACTCAAACCCAGGCTTTCCTGGCTCTAAGGCCCTGGCCCCTTACGGTTCCCCAGGCTGTGTCACGTTCACACGTTTCTGGGTAGATCTTTAAATCGAGGTCTTTTTCAACTTGGGAAACACATCGAATTCTTGTCTTACTTCCTGTCTCTCGGCTGTACACACTCACAGTCTAGTGCCTCCTCCCTTAAAACGATCACGTATGGCACCTGGATAGAGGCTGTGGCTGACCGTCACCGTGGTTTCTAGAACCCAGGCTCAGAGCTTTGCGCTCACAGACTGCACTCGCCTCGGGCCCCTTGAAGTTATCATGCTTCAACGTTACAGAGCAGTGCATCTACCAGCCCACGCGGCGGAAGGCGGGGAGGGTGGGGGAGGAAGCCTCGCCCTGGGCTCCCGGGGTTGGGGTGAAGCGCTCTGGAGCCATCGCTGCTGCGGGGTCGCGACTGCTCTTTGCCTCTGGCCTGCTGCCCAGGCCCCTGGGCTTGACTCCATCTGCAGCTAAATACCGGGGCCAAACGAGCCGCCAGCCTTTCGCTAAGGTTCCTGCGGGTCCAGCGATCTGGACTTGAAGGGAAAAGGAGACCCAGGCCCACGGCGTCTCGCTACACAGTACCGGGGAGGGGATGGGGACTCAGTGTAAAGGCGGGATGGGGCCATCCTCCCGAATCCCCCCAAACCAGGCCCCGAATTCCGCACAAACCCCGCGGGGCTGGGAAGGGTCGAGGGCTGTGGGCGGGGCCGGGGTTGCGGTGAAGGGCGAGGGCAGAGCGCGCGGGGGCCGACTCGGTGGCTCTCCGGCCGCGTAGCTGACCCGCCAGCGGCGCGTGAACAACTCTCGAGAACATCGATTTGTCACCTCCCTTTAGGGACCCGGACCGGGAAATTTCCATTTTCTGTGCTGGGAGTAAGAAATGAAAGCGATCGAGCTCTTGCTCTAATTTCTTCCATCGGTCCTTCTACCAAAGGCGTGGCGGAAGGGGCTCGGAAGACCGGGTCTGCGCGGGGCGCCGGGCCTGGGGTTCCCCCGGGCTTTCGCGGGGTGGCTCGGGGCGCGCCCCTCTCGGGAGGGGTTTCGCGGTCGAGGAATGGCGACAGCTCAGTGGCCGCTTTCCCACCAAGGGCACCTTCCCGGAGCTCACGGACCCCCTCACCCACGACCGCCGCGGGACCAGGCCGGCTGTGACCCTGGGGGCGCGGGGGGAGCCCCAAGACACTTTGCATGGGCGCTTACTGCAAAAGTAGCAGGAAATCCTTTCTCCAGAGCGAGGGACAATGAACAAGAACTAAGGGGAATTCAAGTGGAAAAATCCGTGAATACAAGAACGACCCACAGCTGGAGCTGAGAGGTTTACGTTAAGCTCTATGTGGTTCTTTCCCTTTCCGGGAAAAAGGCCTTATTATTATTTTTCTCCAACAAGAGCTTGGAGAAACGTTCCCTCTAGGTGTGTTCTTTAACAAACTCATTCCGGCTGGACATTAGACTGTATTAGTTATTTTCTCCTGCAACATTCACCGAACTGGCCGAAGAATGCACTTTTTTTCTCCCCCTTCCTCAAGACCGTTTAGGAGAGTAGAGCTATTTCTTTGAAGTTAAAAATGATTTTCCTTTCAAAAATTGTACTACATTGGTTAGGTTTTCAATTAAATTCTTTTTTAAAAGATTTTTGTTTTGTTTTGTTTTTAAAGAACACTTGGTGTCCTTTAATAGACAGATGCTTGGGCATTCACTCTCACAGCTATACATACAGATGAACTATGAAGTCATTTCAAGCAATTTGCAGTTATGTTGAAGAGCATTTCTGGGCAAAAGCCCCAAACTAACTTTTCATTCTTTTTCAGGGTGACTTTATAAATTTCCCTCCATACACCCCTCTGTGGCTCAAAGGTTAGTCCACACAGTCCTCAAAAAACTGTGAGCATCTCCACTACCTGCCCTTGATTGCTATTGTCCTCTCCCTGCAAGCCAGTGGAGGCTGGAGTGGGGGTGGAAGGTTTAGAAATCTCCTGGGTGTCTAAGGGAAGGAGCAGAGAATACCCAAATCTGGAGAGAAGCTACAAGAGGCTGACCAGCAAAGAGGGCCAGTGGGCAGGTTAAATAGGTCAGGTGAGCAGGGAGACCCTGCTGGCCCCAAGTACTTTCCCCTGTAACACATGATTTCCCCTTCATTTCCGAATTCTATCAGCTAGATATTTCCTTAAAAAAAAAAAAAAAATATATATATATATATATATGCATATATATATATATGGCTAAGGGGGCGGGTTCATCAGTTATTCATACTTTAGGACAAGATGGGCCAATTACTCTGAGACAAGCTGCATCAAAGAAATAGACATTCGATATAAAGGAAAAGAAGGGTGGGTAAGTTTCAAGTACAGAGCAATTTGAGCTGTGCAGAGCCAGCTTGGAGAGGGTACCATTGGGGATTTGAGGGTAGCCTGACTAGACACCTGAGGGCTTGAGAAAGGATAGTATCGGCATGAGGGTGGAGAAGAAAGGGAAGGACAAGCATTCCAAGACAAACTGCCTTTCAACAATACTGAGCTCGTAGAGTGGGTCTCTAATCCAGGAAAGGAGAAGAAATTTCCATTCATGTTTATCTTGTAGCACAGGGTCTCTTACGCCTAGGACCCAGAATTGAGCCCAAACAATATTATATAATAACTGTGGATTAAACAGGTTTTTGTGGGCTAGTCTAGGTCAGGCACCAGAATAAATTTGGAGGGCCAAGAAGTTGTTTCACTTCCAAAGCTTCAGAACTTATGTTTACACAAATTCAGGGGTACCTTCACTTATTCTGCTTTAACTCACTTCATTTAAGAACTACTTATGAGGGCTTCCCTGGTGGCGCAGTGGTTGAGAGTCCGCCTGCTGATGCAGGGGACACGGGTTCGTGCCCCGGTCCGGGAAGATCCTACACGCCGCGGAGCGGCTGGGCCTGTGAGCCATGGCCGCTGGGCACTGCGCATCCGGACCCTGTGCTCCGCAACGGGAGAGGCCACAACAGTGAGAGGCCCGCGTACCGCAAAACAAAACAAAACAAAACAAAAAAAACTACTTATGAATGAGTGCTGGCAGATTTTTGAAAAAAATACAAAAATTAAAATTCAAAGATAAATTACAATTTAAAATTGTAGCCAGAAAATACTTTGGGGGAAGAAAAACTGTTAGTATGTCAATTGCTAGTTAACATTACTAGCATTTCTAGTATTACTCATTATTAACACTAATTGCTAATGTTAACTAATTATGCACAATCTATGAGTATGTAGTCAACATCAGCTTTGCTATGGAAATATGCTCTCATATTTAACTAGTTCTTTTAACAAGTGTGAGTGCCTCCTAGATGGAAAGCAGTGTTAATATCTTTTACTCATTTGATTGTAAACAAACACAATAAAAACACAGAGCCAAATTGTTGAGATGGTTATAATACTGCAAACATATTTTACTGTATTTCATCTATACAAGTCTAATAAATACATAAGTGGTTAGGACCAAGTGGACTTTTATTGCCTGCAAGCTGTTACACTTAGTAGTAGGAGAATATGGTATTGCTGACGACAGCACACTTACTACCCCACACTTTGGGATTTTTATACTTGAAGGAAAAAGTGTTCAGAATGGAACAAGACACAAGCCCATTGGATAATCTAGCTTATGTTTGGGTTTGGCGATCCTTTAAGCCCAGGAAGACCAATTCAGAGTACTAAGAACCAAGGTTAAAGTTTTAACACACATCACAACAATGATAAATTAACTAGGGAACAAACCTTGCACGTAAATGATAAACTGTCAAGTACACACCATTTTAACAAGGGTACGTACAATAGAGCTGGCACAATGATGAGAAGTGGCTTACTCTCACAATGTCGTATCATGAGAAATACATATTTCACTTCGCACAAGCGACATGACTTTGATGTAATTACAGGAAAAAAAAGTCGAATCTTCTTTAAAAAAAAAAAAAAAGGTTCACGTTCCAATCACAGAGCCAAAGATCATCATTTTAGATCAAGCTACACAAAAAAGGCTGATCTTCCAAAAAATACTTGGCACTTTCTCTTTTAACTCTGCTTCAGGTTAACTTTTTAAAATGTAGAGTGAAATACAAGCATTTATATTTGGGCCAAACAATCAATGTAATTACAAGGACAGGTACAAAATAAACAGTGTCGAGGCCCTCCTTCCTTCTGCAGAGCTGCATTTTATTAATCTTCTTCTTCGTCACTGTCTTTCATCGTGATGCCCTGAAGTCCTCCTCCTTCCGAAACAGAAGCTGCAGCCTCCTCTACTGTCAAACGTCTGTGCAGGGTGTCATAGGTCTTACTGTTCAGGGTGCCTTCCAACACACCCTGTAATCGGAAGTCCCTATAGGTTTTCTGGAGGAAGGAGAGAGAATTTGCTTAGATCCCTTATGGATTATGTGTCTGGATGGATGTATATGTGTATGTCTGAACGTATATATACTCAGTTGGCATTTCAGAAATGATCTTGGACAATTCACTAATGGATTCGGATTGTAGCTGCCCAGGCCAGTCATCCTGTTGGTGTAGGTTCTGGGGAGCAAAGGAAATGAGAGACTTTTGCTAGTGCTATTCAAACTAGAATCACTCTGAGTAGATCAAAATGTTGTGACTGTCAGATGACAAATGAGCTTCCCCCCCCCCCAAATATTACTAATTGCACAGAATTTACTATTTGAATAACCTGTAACAAAGGTAAAATTATACGTACTTATGTACATTTTCAATATGAAGGAATTCTTAGTTTTTCAATTGAGGAGCCTTTATTTTAGTATCGAAAAATACGTTACATTTTATAAAATGCATTAGGTTTTTGGGGGAGGCGTGTGGAGGGAAGAGGATTAATCCTATTATCACTAAAAGAAGTTTGCATTTGTGAATTATAAGGTTTATTTATATACACACGGGGTAAAAATTTGTGTACACCTAAATGTCTGTATGAATTTTGCCCTTCTGAAATTGCCTTGGAATGTGAAGTGTTAAATTCTGGCATTAAACTTCCATTGCTGGCCTAATAAAACATATTTACTTTTTTCGGTGTGAAACAGTAAATTATTATTTGGTGTATTATGTGCCAAAAATAGTGCAAATATCATGTTATTGTTTATACAGTGATTCTTAAAAACAACAAGAATAACAACAAAACTCTGATTTCTGTGGCTCTTAAGATATGTAACCTATAAAACTTCCCTTATTTTACTTTTCTCCTGAAGTGAGACTTCCTTCACACATGAGTTTTTGATGACAAACAAGGCTGGTATTTTATTATTGATTTTTAAAAGTTGTAGAAAAAGTCTAGAGTTAGTTCAATGGGGAAACAAAGCACAAATGAAGATAGCTCATTCTGTAGAGGCACTTCTAAGGCCATTAAAATGCTAAATATCTTTAAAGATTTTTTTTTTTTAACTGTCCTGGGTTAGTTTCAGAATACTAAACAGCCAGATGTCAATGGACTGGCCCAAAGTATCAATACATATCAATGTGCCACTTTTTTGTTCTAAATGATTGCTAACAGTCACTTTTTTGGGGGTTTGCACTTAACAGATGAAAAAAGTCAAATAAAAAAAGGAATGTTGTACTTCCTGGCCCAAAATTACAACTCCAATAGCTGAAAATTAACATTAAGCGATGCCTGATTTCACTCAACACAATTAGAAGGAAAATATAATATTCAAACAGCTCAGCTGAAGGTGCTTATTCACTTGAGGTAGGAAGTGCTGATGCATGGCATCTTAATCCCCTGGATATACACACCTGGTCTACAATCAGACTTCTGGGAAGGAACAGAACCATTACAAGGTAGTGGTGCCGTTGGTGTTTTCACATTTTATCTTCCTGTCTTATATCATCTGACTTATGCCCCATGGTACCATTCAAGTTTCAGAAGTGATATTCACTTGTTATAAATAAAATGCATAAATAAAGTCCACCTCATGTCCAAAAAATATACTGAATGGTGAGGAACACTATACTGTATCTGAGGTCAGTATCTCAACAGCAAGAAAAATTTAGTGTTTTTTTTTCCTCAAATGACCCAAACTATTTAAATTTGATTACTTATTTATCTATTTATGGTTGTGTTGGGTCTTGGTACTACGTGTGGGCTTTCTCTAGTTACGGTGAACGGGGGCTACTCTTTGTTGCGGTGCATGGGCTTCTCGTTGCGGTGGCGTCTCTCGTTGTGGAGCACGGCCTCTAGGCATGCAGGCTTCTGTAGTTGTAGCACGTAGGCTCAGTAGTTGTGGCGCACGGGCTTAGTTGCTCCGCGGCACGTGGGGTCTTCCCGGACCAGGGCTCGAACCCGTGTCCCCTGCACTGGCAGGCGGATTCTTAACCACTGTGTCACCAGGGTAGTCCTTTTAATTCGATTTTAATATTTTGTATTAAGACATATAAATCCCACCATCCTCATATTCTCTTTCTAAACCATTAAAGCTTATTATTACTAAGGTGATACTTTCACACCAGAACATATGGTAATTTGCATCAGAACCCATGAAGTAACTCTGTAACGTAAATTTTGTCTGGAAAAATCTGGTAACTAGTATGCATGGTATTACTACCACAGAGATTTCTGTTCAAGCCTCTAACACTCTGATAGTTAGATTAAAAATATATCAAGCACACAAAATATTCATCTACAGATAATACATCTGAAATAAAGTATTAGTGTTCCACTGACAATTATATACCAAGTTTGTGAGTCCCACTTTCTTATTTTATTGGAATGACTTTCCTTAGACTTAGCTTAATTATCAGTAAGTTGGCCAGGACAGAGTTGTATTGTGGATTTGCAGCCCTAAAGGCTTTCTAATTTGTATAAAATTAAGACTCTGCTTCCTTACTTAACTAGTAAGCAATAAGCAGTTAGGGGCACTGCAGGGCAGGTACCCTTGCAATCTCTCTCTTTCTCTCTTTTTAGAATTCATAACATGTTATTGACACTTAGAGATCCTCTGTGGCTGCCAAGAAGGTCTGCTTGGCTCTTACTTAAGACAAGTGCCTGCTGCAGGGTGCTGCTCACTTGTGGTCTTTTCTCCTAGTAAAAGAGGCAGCTCGTTTATGTTAACGGCTTTTAAATGTCAAATGGCCGCTAGAGAGAACAGAAATCCATCAGCCATTTTGATTATTGGAGGATTCTATTTTTCCCTTCCCCAAATAAACCACTCTGATGTTTAAACTTTGTTAATTTCTTAGTCCTAAATCTTCTGTGAATATCTTACTGCAATTTGTCTCTTCTTAGCGAGCAACCTCAATGAACCAATTGGCGTCTAAGTGCGTTTGTGGGGCAAAGTTGGCTATCATATACATCTTGATGGCATCTGGGTCTCCGTGGGCACAGAAGAATAACAATGCTTCTAAGGACTAGGCTGCCAGAGTCCAGTAGCTCTCGGCTCGGCTCCTGAGTAGGACGCACTACTCTGCTGTAACATGCAGGTCCAGTCTAAGTGATGTGGATGGAAGGAAAGCCTACTCGGGGCCTGCACAATTCTATACATGTGCTGTTTAATAGCTGCTTAAATTCACTGGAAAATGAACATTATAAACATAGCCATATAGGCTCTGAAGAGTGATGACTCTATGTATGAAATTGGTTAAAGTCTGTTTATATTCAAAGTAGAAAAAAACCAATTAGAACACTGAATTAATTCATCCTAATTTTCATTGTGAAAATAATCACTTTTAGTTATTAAATAAAGCCCTTTGAGTTGATTAAATGTATCAGCCCAAGAAAGTATTGGCTGAGTTTGGGGACCTGCTTGTGAAAAACAAAACATGAAAAGTCAAAAACTTATACATGAAATTTAATTTCAAATTTATCAGTCTTGACTGTTGGCAGCCATAATGAAGACTATATTAAAATAAGATAAACTGACTGGCTTAGACTACAATGGAAATGTCACCCTATAATTAACAAAATTATTAATCATTTTTTCTGCTAAAATATTCACTGGTGCTTGAACTGTTATGACTGTGAATATGAGAAGAGGAATAACTTTGAAATAAACAGATGATGGGTTAATAAAAAATGGAGATTCTTATTAAAAAAACAAAGAAAGAGCTTACCAATCTATCAACTAATACCACTCAGCCGAGTATGTAATTTCTGACATCCTGAACACAGTAGACATTAGCTTGAAAATATGGCTGATCCTAAGGGGAACAAGCTAATCCCAATATTAGTCACAGTATAGACTGCAATCTTAACACGTACACATATTTAGAAGGTAAACACAGATTATTCTGATTCTCTTTTATGAAAAACAAACTTCAGTTGAAAGCTCTCCAAGTGACATTTGTAGAAACAAGGAAGAAACCATGGAGGAACTAAAGCAAACATGAACGTTATCATAATGTGTTTTCAGTTTCTTTGTAACATAAATAACACCTGGTAAAAAGTGTTCCAGATCAAAGGTAATCTGTCAATTGAAATGTAATGTTTTAGTGTATTAAAATTAGTGGGTGACTAATTTTACTTGTTATTTATGGCTAATCATGATTGCTATTACTGTGACATTATAGGTCTGGTTCTGTGTTCCAGTAGATTTGCCGATTTCTGACTTTAGAATAGAACCTTCCTCTTGGTGGATCTTTCTATAACCTATGTGTCTGTGGCACAAAAGAATTCATATTCTAATGAGACTGCAGGAACCAAGAGAATGGTGGAAAATATTTTAATGTGGATAAAACTTTTAATGATGTGACACAGTTGTTCTTCTCAAACTTTATCTCTATCAGAATCCTCTGGAGGGCTTGTTCATGTACAGATGGCCAGGCCCCACTCTCAGACACTCTGACTTAGTGAGTCTGGTGTGGAGCCGAAGAATGTGCATGTCTAACAAGTTCCCAGGTGATGCTGATAATGTTATATCAGGAATGACATTGTGAGAACCACTGTGTGTGTGTGTGTGTACATATACACACATACACGCAGATATACACATATACATATATATGTACGTGCATATATATACACATATATAGGCACACACACACATATATAAATACATCAATGGTATATGTATACCATTTGATAAATGGTACTAGAATGGAAGTAAAAGTCACTTATTTAAAGGAACAGCTGATTCACAAGAGCTTAGAGTTATGTTTTTTGCCATAAGGTAGAATTTGTCTCAATTTTAAGAAAAAGTTATACCTGTGGTAAATTTTGTATTTCCACTGGAATTTATAAGGTGTGAAAAAGCAAGCTGAATAATATATTACTTTAAAGCCCCTACTCACTCAATATAACATGCACGTGATTACATTTCCTCTTGAAAAGCAGAAGTCAAAATGGCCTCATTGAACTAATATAACATCTGTTAGTGGTTATGGATGGGTCCCCGACACTCATACTGATCATCTCTTACATATAAGAAGGGGCATGCTTCCAAAAGAATTCAGGCAGTGACAATGTTTTACTTTCATATCAGGATATAACAAAATAAAGGAGACTCTCCTTATCCTAGGGGCAAATATAATTCAAAAGCCCTCATAATAATATATTAATAAATATGAAGGAAATATATTAGGAGAAAACATTTCTATACCTAAGACAATTAATACAAAATTACTGTGGACCTACTACATTCAGGTAAATGTGTTAGGGGCTTTATGTATATATTATCTTCAAATATGATTACTTGATAACAAAATACTTTTAATTAATGCAAAAACAATAAATTTATGTTTTTTTAGTAATCTAACTGAAAATGGAATAAACAGCAGCACATCCTTGCTGAAAGTGATGTTTTGAAAGTACTTACATCCACTCAGGTATATTAAATACGATTTTCTTATATGTCAATATTTTGCCATTATTCTTTATAGCTTGCTGGGCAATTCACATCTAAACACATTTTGTTTACCTTCACAATCTTGATTAGTGTCTTCAGTTGGTAAATATGAAGCTGGAGGTCTAATCTATCAGCCAACCACACACAAATGACTTTCATGGAACTGCTGTACCATTGCTGGAAAGAAGGATGGGGGCGGGGTGGGGGGAAGAAAACAGAAAAGAAAACAACCTCTGCAGTATTCATTTAACAGATTCGGTAATGAGGGGGTAATGAAACACTCTGAAATGACCATAGATCAGCACTTGAAGTCAATAATGCTATAATTTCCTGTTAACAGAATTGTATGTTTTGCTAGAAAATCTGCTAAGTTGACCTAGGCTGTTCTTTACACGAATTAACATTACAGTCTTTTAGCTGTAACATATTCATGGGAAACAGTGTTTTTGCACTTGCAGCCTAGCGGCCTGCTCTGTAATTTGTAGGTAACAATGCGTACTAAATACATGTTATGGGACTGAATGGACTGCCAAGCAGCAGGAAAAAAACAGGTAAATTATTTTCAAAGGGAAATTTCCCATTAGCCTGTATGTTATGTAAAAATCAGAGTAGATGCCATCATGCACGTAGGCAATACCTAGAAATAGCATTTTAAAGGAGGGATGGCAAAAAACATCCACAGCTTACTAACCTCTAATCCCCAATCACACCTTTATCTACTATTGGTTGTTAAGTATTTGCCAAGATGGTCTAAAACCACCTAAAATAAAGATTTCAGGTCTTAGGAAGGAACATTATCAGGATGGAATTCTTGTGTCTTAGAAGAATCACAAAAACAGATGTCAGTTGACCAAATTATAAAAGAAAACAATCTGTTTCATTTTGCAAGTGTTTTTGGAGGGTTAATATTTTCTGTTTATTATAACTCTCTTGGTGGGAAAATTGAAATTCTTCTCTAATGTACTTTCCTGCTCCTATATAATGCCTGTGAGTATAGTAAAAGAAGAAATTTTGTTCCTATTTTCAAAAAAGGGCAATCTGCCATTAGTGATGGCATTTAAAGGGATTCAGTACTTACACGCCAGAGCCAGGTTTAGGTAATACTGTAAGAAAATAATGCTATTCATTCAGATAACTGTGAGAAATATCAATGTCCACGCAGCATTTAGGAAATGACAAAAGAGTTTTTGAAAGAGAAGGTATTTTGTGCCTTGCTTGTGTACACACAGTGACACTACAGATCACATATGTACGTGCATATGTTCTTAGGTATTCAAACACAGAAAAAAATCTTAAAAGATATTTTTCTTCCATAATAAAGCAGTAAATACAAATTTCTAAAAGAAATCTCAAGTGATACAAGTAAGTCTGAAATTCACCTGGACTTGTATTTACTAACATTGTTCTAATAAAATTTAGTATAAGGAATGGTAGTTTAAGCATAATATAAAAATGAATTAGTTTAACATTTCATCAGACTTATTTCTATTAACTTGTTGGCATACTGGACACACATGCATAAAGTGAGATAAGCTAATGAAAATGAGTAACCGATTTACTGAGTACTGTGATATTAAATGGATGAATGAACATTCAAGTTTTTAAAATGTGAGATGGGCTATGGTTGTTTAAAAAAAATATTATTCATGTACCCCGTTTTTCTTTTTCCTAATGATTACTTTCCTAATTTTCAGGACATGTAAAAGTATCAGAAATAAGTTTTATAAAATGAGATACTCCTAAATTCTTAAAAAATAAACTGCTAAAAAAATCAGTACTTCAGCTGACATATTAAATCTTAATAGATTAGTATCTGGTATTTAAATTCTATACGTCCTTATTTCAAGTTATAGCCTCAACTACTTGAGTTCTATTTTAATGCAGGTAAACACTCATAGGTATTGGTGATATTGAATATGAGTATACTGAATTAAAACCCTCGCCCCCAGCCCACCCTCCAAGTAACTTGAAAACTAAAATGTAGTCATAATGGTTATGACTCTTAAATTATAGTGCTTCTTCAAGGAATAATTTTTTTCTGTAGTTGGGGGGACAAAATACGATATATTGTACAAAATTTATAACACACAAGTTAATTGGGCTGTTAGACTGTAAAGTTACTATATATATGGTAAGTTGCATGAATCTGAAGTAAATGAAAATGCTTTCTTAAAATTACTCCATATGCATCTTATGTTCTTAAAAAATCCTTAGGTAATTTAAAATTAATGTAACTTCATTTTTCCATTACATATGAGTGATACTTATGATTAAGTGATAACTGAAAGGACATCTGACATAACACAGAAATTTATTATTAATATAACTTCTTTAACACAATGCCAAAATTCTACTTTTAAAGAAGAATAATTTGGGAATAAAATGATCTAAAGTTAACTATAAAAACAGAGAAAAAGAACTAATGTTAATAAAGTACTTAAGCTACTCATCATCACCTTACTTTAAAGGCAAATTATTCTACAAGGAACATTCTATAAGAAAAATTATCCCATCTGCTAATCATGCATATTTTTTGGTTCCAAAGTCAAAGCATTTTGAAGAATTTCAGCTAAATCAAGCAAATGATGAAGAGAAATGAATAGCTTAGCTTAGAGTTTACGTTGCTATGAAGAGTAAGCTAACAAACAAACAAAAAACCTTACTAGGACTGGTTCTTTCTTATATATGGTGAAACACACACACACACACACATAGAGTGACACACACACACACACACACACACACACACACACACACACACACACACACACACACACACACACACACACACACACCCCAAACAGACAAAACCACCAAACAGAAATCGCTAGCATTTTCCTATTTCTGGTGTTGGAATGGTTATGTTCTTCTGGGTGGAGGACCATGGATTCCATTTTTTTCATCTTGAGGAAAAAAGTCAAAGGTAAGTCAGCGTCATTCCCCCCACCCCACCAAACCAAACCAAACCACCCTCCAAAGCAAAGAAAAAAAAAAATTTGAAAGGGGTGAATGTGCACTGAAGTGTGACTGTTAGAAAATGTGCTTTCATTTTGGAAAAGTTAATTTTATAAAGCAACTTGTTTGACTATTCACTTTTCCTTTCAGGGGATGACAACAAAGGGGCACTGGAGCTTGCACTCAAGTCGTGGGTATGGCATTACTGCTTTATTCCCTGCTTGGTCTACTTAAGAATAAAGCAGTTAGTGTATATTCTACACTTTTCCCCCCATCAATCCATGCCAGCAGCCTACCACTTTAACAAAATATATGTGTTTTTTTTTCTTTTTTGTGGTTCATTCAACTCCTGTAAGGGCATGCCTTACTCACTTCATTTTCTTGAGATATCTCTTTTAAAGCAAAAAGAAAAGAAAAGGAAAGGCTAGGGTTGACTCTGTGAGACCCCTGTATTTATTCACACTTATTGTGCATGACTGTAGACTGGTAAATCATATTAGCAGCCCGTCTCCCCATCAAGCTGCTACTTGCTTTCCAGCCCTGGGAAGGTTCAACAAATCAACAGGAGCACGGAAAACAGAACATCAGTCTAATCTAGTGTTTAAGGTGAAGTTTTCAAACCCAATCTAAGAAGATCTTTAGAGCAAGCAACAAGCTGAAGGGCTCGGAAGGTGGTATTGACAATGAAAGAGTGTTGAAATATTGAGAAGCGCAGCACTTGTGCATTTTTAATAACAAGAGGGTCAACAAGGACACAGCTCCCTCAGTGCCAGGAGTTGCCACTGACTATGGAAATTGCCACACCAGGGCTATAAACGCTTGCAGTTCATCAGCTTTCTTAAACAGTTCATCAGCTTTCTTAAACACCCTGAACCCCCTCAGTGGACCTTTAGTCTTGAATTAACAAACGAAAGCAATGAAAGAGGGTGCATTCTGAATGGCTGGCATTGATCCCCAACTGTGTCAGCACTGCTACAGGCCCTGAAAAACTCTCTCCATTGTCAATAGAAATTGACAAACCTCCTCTCCTAAATAGTGCAGCTGAGCCGGGCGGGATCCACGCAGCTGTAAAGGGCTCTGCTCTTGGGGCCGGGGAGCACTAACAATGGAACAAGCATGAGCTCTTTGTCAGTCCCAGACTCGGCAATTTTCTAACAAGGATTAAAGTTGTTTCTCGGCAGTGCTGGTGAAAAGAGATTTAGCAACATACCGTGCTTTCTTCATGCAAGTTAAAGAGAAGTACTTAAGGAATTTCATTATTCTGTCGACTAGTGGAAATACAAAACAAATATATTAAATATGCACGGCTCCCTTTGCTGCCTAATTTATAACATTTTGAGGAGGATTCAATTAAATATAACACTTACTGCCTGGAAACAGGCGCTTCGCCTTTATTTTGGAAGTTTTATTTTTTAAAAAGTCCAGCTGCTTGCCACCTGGAATGAGGTCTCAATACATACTAATGCACAATGTCTTCAGACCTTCTGGGGCTAATATTCCTAAATCTGAATCACAGGACCACATAGGGTTCACATATTGCGGCTGCTTCAAGCAAAAGATTTCTGTCAGAATGTGGCTTCTGATGATCACGGCAGGGTAAAAATAGTTGCTTTGCTGGGGAACAAATCTGTGATATATTTTCTGCTTAAGTGTTTAGCTTTTTATTGATTATGAACTTGGTACAACTAGCTGATATATTTTCATTCTTCTCCAGCTAGGCTCGTCTCAATAGGTGAACAACAACAACAACAACAAAAAACAAACCCAACACTTTTTAGTGCCCCCAGATATGAAATGGCTACATTTCCACAGTATGTGTGCATTTCTTCATTTATTTCAAGAGAAGCTGATAGTTTTACCAGAGTCAAGTCACCGTGTTGAAATGACATACCATCTAGAAAATCTCATCTTAGGAAATATGTGCCTTTTAAATGTTAAGTTTAATTGGATAAAAGAATAATAGTTTTGAAAAGCTTGATAAATATAAAGCATCCTTTAGGATCATTTCGTGGCTTTAGAGGGCAACAAATTATTTAGAAATGTTAATGCCCTACAGTTTCACCAGTACATTAAAAAGTAAATAGAAATGTTTCTTTATACATGGAGTGTTCCTTTTGTCAACAGTACATCTGTTTAATATAACTAAATTTGTGGTCACTTCCCATTTCTAGGCACTAAAATGCAGATCTATATTAACTGGACATTTGATATAATAATACCAA